GATCCTTGGGTACTCCACCCTATATAATCGAGTTTTGAGGATACCGCCCGAGCCTTGGGTACTCCACCCTATATAACCGAGTTTTGAGGATACCGCCCGATCCTTGGGTACTCCACCCGACCTATGATCTACCACATATCATACTAGATAGGGCCTATATCATAATCAATAAACAAGACTAGACCAAGTCTTAAGGCCTAAACAAAATCATCCATGCAACTCATGCATTAAAATTAGCATATAGGTAAAGTAAGGCCAAACTGGCGTCGGTCAACTCTCGGTTGACCCGTCATTCCAAAACCAATGTGTGTCAAACTTAGTCACAATATGTAATAAGTTATAAATAACTATTTTATGCACCTTTCATCTCTAAACATATCACACATGTTTTTATGAGCATTTTCACTTCACAAATCATGCATATTTCAATAGTTCACTTCATACAAGCCTAATCACTTTAATTGGCTAATCACATGTTTAATTCATTTAAACATTATTATGAACGCACATAACATATACTTAGGTAATCTCATGCTTAACCCAAAAGTTACAAGACATTAAGCCATCCACTCACCTTAAATGCGTAATAGCGTGTTCTACGTTCTTCGGTTGAACTCCGGCGGAACTCCGGTGAACTCTGGCGAACTCTAGAAACACCTTAGTTAAGCTCCTAACATGGTTTTATCATCACAAAACTCATATCAATACAAATAACCTCCAAAAGGTTATTTTCCGGCGAACCGGTCGTTTTGGCTTCTAAATCCGTTCTTGGACTTATAACCACTTTTCAACCCCTCATTCTACATTTCTAAAAGTGTAGAATGATTCTAAGTGTCCTTCATATGATATATATCTCATATGGTGGAGGAAAAATAAAGGAAAAGTTAATATAAGGTCATTACCTCAATTCTTCTCATTTTTTCCTAACTTTTTCCTTCTTTAAACTCCCTCCTTGGACCTTGTCTTCTTGAGCTCACTTGGTTATGGAGGAAAATGGAGTTGCAGAGATTATTTTTCTTACTTGGGGTGTGCTTGGACGAAAATGAGGGGAGAGAGGGATGGGGATGAGCTTTTGTCTCATTAATCCAATGAGTGTAGAATGAAGGTCCACCTTAGGTACCTTTGATGCCATTTCCTTCATATCATAATCCCCTCCCCATATTTCCTTATCCCACCAGCCGGACAGCACTCTATTTGAGTGTCTAAATTCGTGGGTTGGCCCCCACTCATGTGGGAGGTCAACCCTTTTTGTCCCGAAGTGTACAATCGGTCTCAAAAGTTGTATTTCTCGGACTGTTTTAACTATGTTTTATTTTATCGGGTCAAATAAAATATATTGTGTGATTTCAATCAATATGGACCTTTAGAAAAATTTTAGATTCCCCAAATTAATTTAGAAGTCTCCGAAATTCAATTCGGACTGTTATCCGGTAAATTACCAATACCGGTAATTGGGCCTCGTTTGACCAACCGGTCAACCTTAAGCCCTTTCCATGACCCAACTAGTACATATATCCACCACCATATTCATATTATCTAGACCAAGATGAATATAATATGTGATCCCGAAATTATCGGGTGGTCCCCACTCCCGATGTGGGCCCCATGTGCCATTCGCTATTCACGTAAAAGTAATAACAAAATTTACAACCTCGTAAATTCATAAATCATTATTCAGGGTTTATTACATGATTTACTAAAAAGTAAATTTACTTGGGGACGGTGTTACAATACCTCAATCGCATAGAAATCCTGACGCACTCTTCCACTTCATCCACCCTATTCTGATTCTATGGGATACATCTACATCTAACTCACCGTCCTTCTAAATTATGGAGCCCAAGTAACGGAGCATAGCGCTGACTGGTATCTTCTTACCATCTAGAGTAATTCCGTTATTACCACTGCTTCTACCTCCACCAAACTTGCACTCCATGTACTCTGTCTTGCTCCGATTTAGTTTGAAACTCTTATTCTCCAATGTTTGTCGCCATTCTTCCAACTTTGCTTTAAGACCTGGTTACGTCTCATCAATCAATACAATATCGTCGCCAAACATCATGCATCACGGTATATCGTCTTGAATTGACTTTGTAAGTTCATCCATGACTATGGCAAATAAGAAAGGGCTCAGAGCCGATCCTTGGTGCACTCCGATAGTAACAGGGAACTCTTCAGTCCTCCCTACACTAGTACGAACACTTGTAGTACAATCATCATACATATCCATGATGATGGTGATATACTTGCGTGATATGCCTTTTCTAGTTAAGGCCCACCAAAGAACTTCTCGAGGTACTTTGTCATATGCCTTTTCTAAGTCAATGAACACCAAATGCAGATCCTTATGATCGTCTCTATACTTCTCCATAAGTTGCCGAAGAAGGTGAATGGCCTCAGTTGTTGAGTGACCAGACATAAAACCAAATTGATTCCCTGAAATCTTCATAGTTCTTCGAAGCATTTGCTCAATCACTCGCTCTCAAAGTTTCATGGTGTGACTCACAAGCTTAATCCCTCGATAGTTGGCACATTCTTGTACATCACCTTTATTTTTAAATAAGGGGATAAGAGTACTCTTCCTCCAACTCATTGGCATCTTGTTTTTTCTCCAAATCATGTTGAAGAAACTTGTTAACCACTCGACACCTCTCTCTCCCAAACTTCTCCAAGCCTCGATCGGTATGCCATATGGACCTATTACTTTCTTCCATCCCATCTTCCTCAGAGCTTCTTTAACTTCCGTTGTTTGGATCCTTCTCACAAAATCACGATTTACCATACAATCTGGTATGGACAAATCACTGATATCTTGCGTTTTGTTCCCGTTGAATAGTGTATCAAAGTATGACCTCCACCTCTCTTTTATCTCTCTGTCGTCCATTAATATCATCTGATCGACATCCTTCACACACTTAACTTTTGCAATATCTTGAGTCCTGCGATCACGAAGACGAGCAAGTCTATAAATATCTAGTTCTCCTTCCTTAGAGTCCAACTTTTCATACAACTCCTTGTTCACTTTCCCTCGTGCTTCCCTTACGGCTTTTTTGCTTGTCTTTTAGCTTCCTTGTATGCTTCTATGTTCTCAACACTCCAACTTGTCCCCAACTTTTTGTAGCAATCTCTTTTGTTCCTTATGACTTGTTTCACCTCATCATTCAACCAAGATGTGTCCTTTTTAGGTGACAGACATGCTTTAGATTCTCCAAGTACCTCCTTTACCACTTTGTTAATGGTCAACTCCATTGATAACCACACATCATCCACATGTGTTTCATTATCAATACGCCATACATCTTCACCGACCATTTTGCGTGTAAAGTTTTGTTGAAGATCTCCCTCAAGCCTCCACCACTTTATCTTTGGCTCCACTTGTTGTTTAACTTGTCTTATATGGTTCTTACCTCGAAAGTAAAGCACAAACATCCTATGCCGAGTGACAACACTCTCACCTGGAATAACCTTACAATCAGTGTAGCTAGTTCTCCAAGGGGTCCGTACTAAGAAGTAGTCGATTTGGGTACTATTAGCTCCACTTTTATAGGTTACAAGGTGAGAGTCTTTTCTCACCAAACACGTAACTTTTGATTTCGCGCGCTTAATTTTGTAATAAGTAGAAAAAGTAAGGTTGAAGTTACTTTTGTAGATGTTTTGGCTGAAGTTACTGTAGAGGATCATTTTAGCTATTTTTCATATAATTCTTTATTTAATTTATTAATAACAAATAGTTTAAATATAATTTTTTCATGAATCAGCAGAATCAGCCAATACAAAATTTAGCTAGAACTTCATAATTTTTAGCAGAATCAGCCAATTCAGCCAAGTTTAATGTTACCAAACGGGTTCTCAGAAACTACATTAGAAGCTTTACAAAGTCACAAAAACCAGAATCAAATTTGACAAAAAATTGATACATAAAATAAGACATCAAGAGTGATTTCTGTTGAGCAAATGAATAAGAACGTGTACAATAATAGAAGGAACTCAAGGAAGGAAAGAGTACCTTCTTATTGATTCATACCAATATTATGTGTATCATTCTTATTCGTATACCGCCGGAGGTACATACCTTTTTAATCAATTTTGCTATAGGTACCCCAAATTTACCCCATTTCCTACCCCATATAAAAACCCTCTCTCCTTCCCTACTTTTCTTCTCCCCCCTCCCCCACTTTTCTTCTCCTTCCCTCCCTCTCTCCTCCCTCTTTTCCTTTTACACAGCCCCCCCCCCCCCCCCCCCCTCATCCTCTCTCCTTTCTTTCTCTTTTCTCCAAATCTTGATTTCTTCCCCATTGCAACATCTCTCTCCATCAAATCTTCCCATTTTTACAATCTTTTCTCCCTCCAAGCTTCTTCTCCTGCTTCTTGCCTCTTCTTCCTTTTTTTCGTTTCAAATGCAAGAGCTACAGTAGATCGGAGGAAGGGGAGAGCTGGGTGACGTTAGATAGCTTGACATGGGGAGACAACGACGAAAGTGCAGACCAAGAAGCTTTGAATGGCTTGAGAAGATCTACTTTTCTTGATTTTTTTCTTGATTTTTTGGTGTGTTTTCGAAAAAAGGGTTGTCTGACTGACAGACAACTGTAAGTGCAGTGTCTGTATTTGTTAGTAAGACTCATGAAGTTGTCTGTCATTTGATCGTTAGTTGTCTGTATTTGTTTTGAGTTGTCTGTATTTGTTTCGAGTTGTCTGTCATGTTGTTGTGAGAAATCTGTAAGAGTCGTGAAGTTGTATGTCTGTAATTGATGGTTAATTATCTGCATTTGTTTTGAGTTGTCTGTATTTGTTTTGAGTTGTCTGTATTTGATTGTGAGTTATCTGTATTTTGTGATGTTTATTTTTTGAGATGTAATTAGTATAACGAGGCAGACATTAAATATACACATCCAAACAATAAGTATACACATACAAATATTACTTTATTGTGAATTACCATTTTGGAATATGTTTCATAAAGAAGACAGACAATACGTATAACTAGACAGACAATAGAGATAACGAGACATACATTATTTTCACCACAAATTACATACAACTCAAAATGAAATGACAAACAACTAAGTATGAGTTACAGACAACTTCACAACTCAAAACAAATACAAACAATTAACAAACAAATGACAAACAATTAAATATCAATTACAGACATTTATTTTTCAAATGACATACAATTTTATGACTCTTACAGACACTGCACTTACAAGTTGTCTGTCTCACAGACAACCCTTTATGTTTCGAAAATACATCAAAAATGAAGAAAACAAAATCAAGAAAAGAAGATTTGCCGCTCAAGTTATTCAAATCTTCTTGGTTTGCCTTCGTCGTTGTCTTCCCTTGAGGTTGCATCCGAAATAGCAACCAACGTAGGCCTGCTGTCGGCAACCGCGTAGACCCGCTGTCGGCAACCGGCGTAGACCCGCCGTCGGCAACGTCACTGGTGGAAGTGGAGATAAGCAGGAGAAGATTTAAGATTGGAAAGGGGAAAAATGGTAAAAATGAGAAAGATTTTGAGATGGAGAAAAAAGGGGAAGGGAGGGGGTGCGTGAAAAGAGGAGAGAGAGGGAGAAAGAGAGGTGAGGTGCATGAGGGAGAAGAAGAAAAGTGAGAATGAGTTTTTATATGGGGTACTGTAGCAAATTATTCGAAGGTATGATACACGTTTTGGCTAACCCGAGGTACATACCTTCTCAAGAGGTACGGTAGAAGGGCCCATTTAACAATGCTCCGTATATAAACCATCTTATTTGAAATTCTCATTTCGCCTTCTTCCTTCTTTGGAGTTCAGAGAGTGTTCCTGCGTGAGAGTGATCCTGCGTGAGAGTGCTTCGGAGTTCAGATCTGTGGTCCACTCAACTACCGGCCGGTTTGGCGTGATAGATAGAGAGCTACAGCTATACTACCGCCAAATCTCTGTATAGCTGCTGCCCCGGCGGACGACCGGACATCTTCTCCTTTCAGACTTGCCTGCTACTCTCTTTCTTCTTTCATCTTGGTACGCGAGTCTTTCTTTTATCATGGCATTGGGCTAATCCGCACGGTTACGTAGATAAATTGCTGTATATTGAGAGCATTTCATTTCAAGAATTTGACAATTGATATAGCACAGAGTTATGGGACACAAGAAGCGCAACAAGCCTGCTCGCTCTAAACCCTCGGGTTCTCGCGCCGGTGAACTAGCAGAGTCCCTCGAATCGTTAACTGTCAATGATTCAGAGGGGTCTGATTCAGCGTCTTATGAAAGTATTAAGGTTGAGTGTGAGAAGGCATTGAGCGCCCTGAGCAGGGGTAACCATACCAAATCCCTAAGGGCGATGAAGGACTTGTGTGTGAAACACGGTAACTCGCCTTATGCTGCTTTGATTCACCGTGCCCATGGAACCGTTTACCAGAAAATGGCCTCTTTAATAAGTGAGTGTTTAAATAAGGATCAGCATATGAAGGATGCCATCGACTCTGCCAAGAAAGCAACAGTCATGTCCCCCAACTCGATAGAGTTTGCGCATTTCTATGCCAACTTGTTGTATGAAGGGGCTACTGAGGAAAATGGGTATGAGGAGGCTGTTCAAGAGTGCGAGAGGGCACTGGCAATAGAAAGCCCAGTTGATCCAGGAAAGGAATTGTTACAGGAGAGTCAAGTGAAGCTGCCCACTCCCGAGGCTCGGATTAAACAGGTGGTGAATGAAATTAGGAATTTGATTCAGATGTCTAACATTGCTTCCATTTCCACTTTGATGAAACATCTGCGCAATGGGGATGAGACGTTCAGATTGATACCTATAACGAGCGGGGCTATGGAGTTGAGTTCAGTACAGCCAAGAAGGCCCAATGAGATTAAGAAAGCCCCTAAGACACCTGGGGATAGAAGGCCCGATGAGATTAAGAAGGCAACTAAGACACCTGAGGATAGAAGGAAGGAGATCAAAGCTCAAGTGGCTGCAGCAAGGTTATTGATGCAGAAGTCAAAATCAGGTCCGTCACAGAATGAAGTGGCTAATAAGGGGAAAAGGCATGAGGAGAGTCAAGTAAAGCTGCCCAACCCCGAGGCTCGGCTTCAACATCTCGAGGATGAGTTTAGAAATTTGATTCAGAAAATTAACATTGCTTCCATTGCCACTTGGATGAAACAACTGCACGATGGGGATGTGAAGTCTAGATTGATATCAGCAAGCAGTGTCCTAAACGACTTAGCTTCAGTACAGCCAAGAAGGCCAACTAAGACACCTGAGGAGAGAAGGAAGGAGATTGAAGCTCAAGTGGCTGCAGCAAGGCTATTGATGGAGAAGTCAGAATCTGGCCAGTCACTAAATGAAGGAGACAAGGGCTTGGATCCCTCTGCAGGTTAGATCGGTAAACATCAGTTGGTAGAAATGAGTAGTAAAAGAGAACATTATATAGCCCCCGCCCCCCCAACAAAAAAGAAACGCTAGGCATTTTGTTAACTCACTGGTTGTAGTCCACAAAAATGAATTCCAATGCAAATTGCATGGAACATGCTTTTGCCAAGAACTTCAAGCTGTAATTCTTAAACAGTTCTAACAGGAGGCACATGGCATAGATTTGTATTAGTCTCAGTACATTAATATCACTTCCATATACATTTCCATCACCAAACACTGCAAATCATTATATCATATTTTGATAGATTTTGTTATGTTCAATTCCGCCTCTCTTTTTCCAAAGTTATAATATCATGACCAGTTCCAACAAGCACATGAAACTTGGAAATGATGGTAGAAGTTTGCATCCCCTAGAAACTGAAGAATCAAATGCCTGCATACTTCTATGGTCAGCAAGGATTATTTTGATATCACTAATGTTGACAGTAGCTCATGAGATTTAGTAAACTCCTAAACCTGTCTGAGGAAGAATTTGGAGTTTATTGCATTCTGTAACACTACCATGTTATCCCTCTTCATGGGATACATCATTTCACATCATTGCGGAGGTTTATCCAGATAAGTCAGGGAATTCTACACTAGTCTTGGTTTGTCCATGGCACTCCACGCCAGTGTTCATTATACTCACTGCACCAAGACGGGTTGAGAGATCAGGATCTACTAGTCACTAGGCAGTTAATACATTTCGCTGATGCGAATAGCATGTTTTTTCAAATATAACATTATACTACGTACATATCATGTGAGAAGTACCGAAATCTAATACTTCAAATCAAATATTTCAGCACTGTTGTTAAAAATTACAACATATCCATAACTTTCGGATTCTCCTTAAACAGCAGTGAGATGTAAGCAAAACACAATCAATTCTCTAATTTGAGTAACTACTTAACTGAATTTGAGGCGCAGAGGTTTTGCTTCACCACTGTGCCAACATTAATGCCAGATGGGTTGTTCAATAAGAGCCAGCTGGTACAAGTGTTAATGTGTATACTTTTTTTCTGAAGAAATCAATTGCAAATTCATTTTATTTAGGTAACGTTGAAATATATTACATCTAGATCACCACAGCATAACTAAAATGTCAGCTGTTTTCAAAAGCAATCCATTGTTCTGTGTTCTATTTCACAAATTATTTTCCTTTTAATACACAAAACAACTAAAAACATATACACCAACAGTTTTGGTGGACAGCTTAGTGTTTTATTTCCATGTGATAGAGATATATCTACTGCTTAAGCACAGATTTCCAATCCACATTTCATGTTACTTAAAGAGATTCATTATAAATCCCTTCGTGAGATTTATATGCAGGAACATATTCACTCAAGTTGGTATTTCAAAAAATTTATATACCTTTGCATTTTCTTTGTTCGCTAATCACAACAAGATAGCTTTAGAATCTTCTAGTCTTGAGAATAACCATCTTGTCTTGTCCATAAAAGTAAAAGGATCACTGACTCTCATATAATTAAATGACCGTGAAATGCTTATTGTTTTAATTGCTCGAATTTGTTTAAACTTCATTTCCAACCACAGTAGCCCTTGAAATGGTTCATGACAGGTACGTAGTAAAAAAATAGATATACAAGTATTAACCGCAAACAATTTATATTTCCTATACTCACCAGGGAAAAAAAGAACTCTGTACAATTGCTATACTTTTTTCTGCAAAATTGTGCTACTAACTATAAATTAAGCCATCTAGAGATGTCCAAAAAGCTGTCCTCTTAACAATGATTTGTAATTCCACCCGTTAGATGATTGAACCCGAATTCCTCCTCAGTTTGACTAAGCAAGTCTTGGAATGATTTCCCTCCATTCGCTTGTTTAGAGAATCAGAATGAAGGGATGCTTGAAGCTGAACCTGCAGTTTCTGATCAGACTGGAAGAAAGAGCAGGCGCCAGAAGGGATTGAAAAAAAATTATGAAGGAAAGTATCAAGCTGTTTCTTCTGGTGCAGATAAAAACATGGTCAGTAGACTGATGTCAGTCCTGGAATGGAATCTGTTTTCCACATATTTTTCTTTACTTTGTATTCTACATGATAATTCCTCCAGGCTTACTTAGAGGGTTTGGCAGAGAAAGATGCCACTGAAAAATCTGATGCTGCACGAGAAGCATTCCTGGCAGAGCTTGCCCTTGATTCAGAGAAGAATTCAGGTGGAGGAAATGATAATTTAAAACATGCAACTAAAAAGACAAAAGATAAAAAAAAGAACAAGGGCTATCGAAAAAGCAAGGGTGCAAAGGTTGACTAGTAGTATTTATAATGTATTTTATTCCTTTTTATGGAAGCGTAACTTTTCACTGGACCATAGATGATTCTTTACCTACATCTTCTCAGGCTTCCACTGGAACTATGCAGCCCATTCATGACCACGAGACTTCTCAATGCATGTATGTATTTTTATAATTGAGAGAACACCACACATGCAAACATTCTAAGAGTATTCAAAGAAAGCTTAAACTACCTTTTATATTCTGCACATGTCTGTACCATACCAGTTCTTCTCGAGGTGTTAATGATAAGGAAAATGAAGGGGGTGAACTTATAATTGTTGGAAGCAAAGATTCTCCATCTCTGGAGGAGTGCAAGCTAGGAAATATGCTTGAAGAAGAGGAAAGAAAGCTCGAAGAGACATTGGAGTACCAAAGGAAAATTGAAAATGAGGCTAAACTCAAGTATCTTGCTGAGGAACATGAGGTAGTTGGAACAGCACTTTCAGAGAAGATGCCTGCAGAAGTAGTACCTGATGCTTATTCGAGATACAAGGAAGATCAAGATGCAAGTGAGCAAGGGAATAACGCCAAGGTGATGTGTATTAGACAACTGTTTTTCAACTTTTACTAGAACATGTGGCATTGGGAATTCTTTTAGTTTTAAAGAATGCATTGGTAGGATACATTGCTAAATAAATTTTGAGACACATTAGGAAATTCTAAATTTCCATCATTTGCAATGGACCCAAAGATTCATTAATTTTTGGCTTGAGATTATGATGGAATTAACCAAAATGGCTCACTAAACTGTATGCGCTTCGTTGTTATGAAGCAGCAGTCAGTCCAAATAATTTTCACTATGGGTCATCCGGAAACAGTCTCTCTGTGCTTTAGTGCAGGGATAAGACTGCGTACATCCGATTCCCCCTTACCCCACCGTAGGTGGGAGCCTTTGCGGCACTGGGGTAAATGAAAATGAAAATGATTAGGAAATTCTAACATATCCTCTCACAATTTCAGGATTCAATGTTTCCAACTGATGAATCTCCTGACGTTTTGGAAGGTCTTCTAAGGAACACTGCTGATGTTGATGCAAATAGAGCGGGTATGCCTCTTTCTATGTACAAGTAAAACTTCACCGTATTTGAAGGTAATGTTTGCAAACTCCAAATGATTTCCCTCCATTCTCTTGTTTAGAGAATCAGAATGAAGGAATGGTTGAAGCTGAACCTGCAGTTTCTGATCAGACTGGAAGAAAGAGCAGGCGCCAGAAGGGATTGAAAAAAAATTATGAAGGAAAGTATCAAGCTGTTTCTTCTGGTGCAGATAAAAACATGGTCAGTAGACTGATGTCAGTCCTGGAATGGAATCTGTTTTCCACATATTTTTCTTTACTTTGTATTCTACATGATAATTCCTCCAGGCTTACTTAGAGGGTTTGGCAGAGAAAGATGCCACTGAAAAATCTGATGCTGCACGAGAAGCATTCCTGGCAGAGCTTGCCCTTGATTCAGAGAAGAATTCAGGTGGAGGAAATGATAATTTAAAACATGCAACTAAAAAGACAAAAGATAAAAAAAAGAACAAGGACTATCGAAAAAGCAAGGGTGCAAAGGTTGACTAGTAGTATTTATAATGTATTTTATTCCTTTTTATGGAAGCGTAACTTTTCACTGGACCATAGATGATTCTTTGCCTACATCTTCTCAGGCTTCCACTGGAACTATGCAGCCCATTCATGACCACGAGACTTCTCAATGCATGTATGTATTTTTATAATTGAGAGAACACCACACATGCAAACATTCTAAGAGTATTCAAAGAAAGCTTAAACTACCTTTTATATTCTGCACATGTCTGTACCATACCAGTTCTTCTCGAGGTGTTAATGATAAGGAAAATGAAGGGGGTGAACTTATAATTGTTGGAAGCAAAGATTCTCCATCTCTGGAGGAGTGCAAGCTAGGAAATATGCTTGAAGAAGAGGAAAGAAAGCTCGAAGAGACATTGGAGTACCAAAGGAAAATTGAAAATGAGGCTAAACTCAAGTATCTTGCTGAGGAACATGAGGTAGTTGGAACAGCACTTTCAGAGAAGATGCCTGCAGAAGTAGTACCTGATGCTTATTCGAGATACAAGGAAGATCAAGATGCAAGTGAGCAAGGGAATAACGCCAAGGTGATGTGTATTAGACAACTGTTTTTCAACTTTTACCAGAACATGTGGCATTGGGAATTCTTTTAGTTTTAAAGAATGCATTGGTAGGATACATTGCTAAATAAATTTTGAGACACATTAGGAAATTCTAAGTTTCCATCATTTGCAATGGACCCAAAGATTCATTAATTTTTGGCTTGAGATTATGATGGAATTAACCAAAATGGCTCACTAAACTGTATGCGCTTCGTTGTTATGAAGCAGCAGTCAGTCCAGATAATTTTCACTATGGGTCATCCGGAAACAGTCTCTCTGTGCTTTAGTGCAGGGGTAAGACTGTGTACATCCGATCCCCCCTTACCCCACCGTAGGTGGGAGCCTTTGCGGCACTGGGGTAAATGAAAATGAAAATGATTAGGAAATTCTAACATATCCTCTCACAATTTCAGGATTCAATGTTTCCAACTGATGAATCTCCTGACGTTTTGGAAGGTCTTCTAAGGAACACTGCTGATGTTGATGCAAATAGAGCGGGTATGCCTCTTTCTATGTACAAGTAAAACTTCACCGTATTTGAAGGTAATGTTTGCAAACTCCAAATGATTTCCCTCCATTCTCTTGTTTAGAGAATCAGAATGAAGGAATGGTTGAAGCTGAACCAGCAGTTTCTGATCAGACTGGAAGAAAGAGCAGGCGCCAGAAGGGATTGAAAAAACATTATGAAGGAAAGTATCAAACTGTTTCTTCTGGTGCAGATAAAAACATGGTCAGTAGACTGATGTCATTTGAAAATTTGCAAGGTCAGTGGAAGTGTATATTTTTACACGTTTTCATTTCTAACCTCTGTGGTGATTTCACTACTACAATTTAAAAACACTATTAACACGAGTTTAAACAAAACACTATTTATGGGACACGCGGTACTTGTGCTGTTCGTGCCTCTTATAATCTGCTTACATTTTTAGTTGATAGTATGGGTAAATCACTAAAGTGGGAAAAGGAAAGTCAAAGGTTTAATTGAACTACACCAATAGGGCAATAGGAAGGCCTTGCTTGTTATAAGCTGTAAGGCTGTAACCTGAACTATAAAGAATTAAGATTGACATACAAATGTGCTGCATTTGGTAATATCACATCTTGTGGATCCGCGATTTCTAGTTGGGAACAGATTGATTTCCTAGTAACTTTTGACTTCCGAATGATCAGTTATAGCAGCTTTATTATCAACATTTCGGCTACTACTCTCATCTTATTTGACTCCTATTTATTGCACATAAATATTCGTTTATATGCCTTATTCAGGGATGATATCAAAGTCACATTCTGAAATAGATTATTCTGGAGAGTTACCCATTGAAGGGGCCACTGAAACAGCCGTAGTTAATGTGTATGGGACAGGGCTGCAGAATGAAATTGGGGAATATAATTGCTTCTTGAATGTCATTATCCAGGTCTGTAGTTATGTCAGGATGGGCTTTACTATTGTTTATTAAGTCCTGATCCTTTTCTGAGGGTTGTAGTTTCATATCTTTCCCTTTCTGTTACATTTCAGTCATTGTGGAATTTAAGCCACTTTCGAGATGAATTTTTGAGATCATCATCGAATCACATTCATATTGGCGATCCTTGTGTTACATGTGCTTTATATGGCATTTTTACTGCTCTTTGTTTGGACACGCAAAGAGAAGCGGTTGCTCCTACCTCATTGAGGACTGCTTTGAGCAACCTATACCCTGATAGCAATTTCTTCCAGGAGGTAAATGTTTATCCTTGGGCTTTGCTTGAAATTTTCATTAGTTTTATACAAGTATAAGTTTTTTAAAACACACGGTTTATATTCAGACTATGATCTGCAGGGGGAGATGAATGATGCTTCAGAAGTACTAGATGTAATATTGGATTGCCTTCATCAGTCGTTTACTTCAGATTTGGGTTCTTCTGAGACAAAATCAACATCTAGACGCTTGGACTCCTGGGATTGTACTAACAGTGCTTGTATTGTGCATTCTATTTTTGGAATGGATATCTTTGAAAAAATGCTCTGCCCCAAATGCAAACTAGAATCTAGACATCTGAAATATACTGCTTTCTTTCACAATATTAATGCTAATGCATTGAGAATGACAAAGGTATCCTCTGCTCAAGTATTGCTTTCATTTGATAATTGTTTCTTTTTTAGTTTTTGGCCATTAATCTTAGAGGTGAACACATTTTTGTAAGGTAGATGTTTTTGGATTTTTACATAACAAAGACATCGGATCTTGCATTCTAGGTTAAGCATCAAGAAAGCTCATTTGATGAACTTATGAATCTTGTCGAGAGGAACCACCAGTTGTCTTGTGATCCAGATGCTGGTGGGTGTGGGAAACATAACTTCATTCACCATTTCTTGTCTACTCCACCACATGTTTTCACAATAGGTAATTCCCTTTGCGCCTTTGCCGATTTCTACATTTACATAATCTGCATGGGCTGTAGTAGGAATATCTCAGCAATTTGGATTGTGATGCTTTCTATCTACAGTGTATACTATATCTACAGTATAGTTTTATAAAAAAGAAAAGCCATCAACTTTTTGCTTAAATATTTTGTTTTTTCTCTGCAGTTCTAGGATGGAAGAATACTTGTGAGAGTCTTGATGACATAAGAGCAACATTGGCAGCCATATCTACTGAGATTGACATTAGTGTCCCTTACCATGGTTTAGATCCAAACAACAGATATAGCCTAGCCTCAGTAGTAAGCCTCACACTTCTCTATTGTGTAGCCGGTTAACTGGTGTACATTCATTTATGGCTATATGTACTTGTGAGTACTGTATCACACTGTATAGTACTCCCTCCGTCCCAATTTGTAAGATACTTTACGGTTTACAATGTTTGACCGACGATAAAGCAAATTGATCTTGTCAACACTCGAATTAGTTTTACAAAATAAAATTTACATATTCAGAAACTACATTAAAACCGCTACAAAACCTGCAAAAAATAATTCAAATTTCATAAACTTTTGATATATAAAGTAAAAGATTAAGAGTGATTTATGTTGACCAATTGAATAGTAAATGTATCTTACAATTTGGGACTGAGGGAGTACTTCAACTTGAAAAAAATATATGATATTTTCAAGTCTGAATCTTTATTTATCAACTTACTACTAATAATAATAACAACAACATTACCCCAGTGCTGCAAGGAAAATTCCTTTTGTACCCGCCAAGTTTTACACGCCGGGTTACACATCTGTCAAATTGTATGTGTACAGACAATTTGATCGACTACACAGACATATTGAGCGGCGATTTACGAAGAAAACCGATTTTCACACAAACAAAAATAAAAAAATGTGTGTATCACAAACACTTTATGAAAAAAACAGGTTTAAAATGTCTGTGATACAGACAACTCTTGGTATTTTGTCTGTATGGAAATCGATTTTCTTCATAAAACACCGGTCAAATTGTCTGTCTAGCCGATCAAATTGTCTGTATACAGACAATTTGACCTGCGTGTAACCCGGGGCGTGTACACGAAGCGGGACTCGTGCTTCAAAGGCCTCCCCCCTATGGGGGACTTCCATCCTACTACTGTGGTTGTTAATTTGATGTGTGTTGGATATAAATTGTGTTGTCTTCCTCAAATGTTCATTTTCAGGTTTGCTATTATAGACAGCATTATCACTGTGTTGCTTATAGCCGTCATCATGAGAAGTGGATAATGTATGATGACATGACTGTGAAGGTAAATTTTCAGTGCCACTTCATCACGCGCTCTTATCATTATGAACGTTGATCAATAATGTGCCTGTTTATCATCTTTGGACATTTGAACTTCAGGTGATTGGCAGCTGGGATGATGTTCTCATGATGTGTATAAAGGGGCATTTGCAACCTCAAGTCTTTTTCTATGAAGCTGCAAACTAACTTTGCGTGGTCGGGTCTTGGGGAAGCTTTGATCCTGGCTCGTGAGCTGTATAATCCTTGTATACCCACAAATTTGTAAATGTCAAAAGGAATTTTACAGAAAGCGAAACAGTCTAGAATCAGTTAGCATATTGAAGAGAAAAGAGAAATTGGAGTTATTGGCCTGGAAGGTAAAATCACAGACAATCAATCTGTGATCGTAGTTGTATCACTTGTATACTTGTCTGGGTTGCTTCTTCAATGATCAAATTTTGGGAAATAAGAAAGGAAAAAAGGCCTTTGTAGAGATATATTGATGAGGGCTGTAGTTTTTTTTATTACAAAATCAGGTTTTGTAGGCTGTAGTAGGGACTAGGGAGAAAAAAATGTGTTGGAATTTTAATAGTTAGCTCTTGTATTTTCATAAAAAAAAATTGTGTTGGAATTTTAATAGTTAGCTCTTGTATTTTCATGTACGTGAATTGTGGAAATAATCTATAGTTTTATATAGTAAAAGTGAGTTAAAAATCAATGATGTGTCAACTTCCTATTGGATAATACAAATTTTATTATCTCTATTATTAAAACAATTCATTGATTCACAGTTATTATCACTATTATTCCTCCTAAAATCGTGCATCAAGGTTGTTTTGGAGCAAGCCAAGGAGAAAAAAAAATCTATTTTTTAAAAGTTATATAACTTTTATATTTATAATCCAATTTTTACAAAAAATATATCAAAATTCATAATTTTTTAATGATCTTTCATATCATCATATGACATCAATATTATATATATATATATATATATATATATATATATATATACATATATATATTTATACAAATTATCTATTATTTTATACAGCGAAAATAAGTTGAAAATTTTATTGATTAATAAAAAAATTATTGTCACTACTACTAAGGTATGCAATTCATATATAAGTTGACTCGGTTTATCGTTTATATTCACTACATGCATCACTGCTAGTCTGCTAATTTGGAGGAAGGGAAGGAGAAAGAAAATCTTTTTTTAATATATTACTCTCTTCGTCTCTAAATTAAATAAACATCTCACTTTCCTTTTCGGTTTGTCCCTATAAAGGGCCTCTTGCCTTATTTCGTAAACAAAACATTAAAACAGTGTCAAACAGTATCAAGAGAGCCAAACAGTGTCACTTTCTTAATTGTGTGTTAAACAAAGTGTGACTTTTAAATATGGACAGATGGAGTATAACTTATTTATTTGTACTCCAATTTTTACAAACAATACATCAATATTTACAATTTTTTATGATCTTTCATATGACACATATATTGCATATATAAAAATAAATACATTATTTTATATAATAAAATTGAGTTAAAAATAAGTGATGTGTTAGTCTCTTATTCATTAATAAATTTTTTATTATCACTACTACTACAACATTTAACTAATGCAAGTTCACTTGGTGCATCACTGCTATTCATCAGGTGCATCAGTGGTATTCATATTAATCACGCCAACTCATTTGGAGAAAGAGTGAAGGAAAAAACTCTTTTTAAGGTGTTATAACTTTTTCATGTGCACTCTAGTCTTTAAAAAAATTGAAGAAAGAGGAGGAGAGCAAGTTAAGTATTCTTTAAATAGAAATTGCTCTAAATAGGAGCAAAAAAGTTGTGAAATTCCAAAATAGGAGTATCATATTTTTTATTCCTTGAATAGGAGTAATCTGCCAAGTTTGAAAAAAAATGCCATGTTTTAAAGCCTAGTAATGCCAAACTTGGCAGAAATTTACTCATATTCAAGGAATAAAAAACATGATACTCCTATTTTGGAATTTCAAAACTTTTTTACTCCTATTTAGGGAATTCTCTCTTATCTTTTTTAATGTGCTATAACTTTTTTACTCCAATTTTTAAAAGAAATGTATCAAAATTCATAACTTTTTATAATTTTTCATATGACATCAATGTTGCATATATAAAAATGATAAATTTTATTTTTATATAATAAAATTGAATTATAAATCAACGATGTGTCAGTTTCTTACTGGTTCATAAAAATTATGTTATCACTACTACTAAATCATATAATTAATCCAAGCTCACTTGGTGCATCACTACTATTCACTCGGTACACCACTGGTCCAGTGCTATTTATTTTAATCAAGCCAACTCATTTGGAGAAAGCGGTGAGAAAGAATCTTTTTTGAAGTTCTTTAAATTTTTTGTACTACAATTTTTATAAAAAATATATCATAACTTATAATTATTTATGATCTTTCGTATGACACCAATATTACATATATAAAAATAAAAATAGTCAATAATAGTCAAAATTGACTTATAATTCAATGATATAACTTCTTTAAATTATTAATTATAAAAATATTGAATACTGAATAACTAAATTTTAAATCCGCCACCGGAAACATTAATACTGCATGATCATACCAGACTAGAATAGATCATAAAAAATCAGATCAGATTAGAACAGAGTTTAAAATCATAAATATGCATATCAAATGAATAGAACAACTACTTAATATCAACTATATTAATGGAGTAGAATTCTCAGAATAAATATGATATCAATTCAATTTCTAAAAAAATTGTACAACATCAAAAATTTTAAGTAATGACTAATGAGACTCTAATACACGTAATAGGACTCTAATCATACAAAAATCAATCTCACATATTTGAGTGAGGCTCTAATCCACAACCAATTTTTTTAAATAATGGAACTTTAGTTCACGTGGTGAGCGGGACTCTAAAAGTATTACATCCATAATGCATGTAATAACTACGTAAAACAGTGTAAACTCCACATACTCGCAATTCCAATTTCACACTTCTTATTATCATCACTCATCATACAATCAGCCCTATAAATAATTAATATTCCACAACTAAAACAACAATTAGCATATAAACAATATAACCACAAATTCATACTCCAAAAGATGGTGATTCCTCACCGTCTTCCATGATGGTGGTTAGTTCATAAAAAATCGATTATAGCCAAACTTTTGATCATATCATATAAATAATTTAAAATATTTATTGGTATTTCTCTCAAATTTACACTACCAGGGCATGCCCCGGGTGCTACACTAGTATGGAGTAATATGATAGTGATGGACTGTTCGAAACTGGCCTTGATGATCTGTATTATCCCTTGGTTCATCTATTGCAAAGTTTTGAACCACTCATTTACCTGTGTAATACTCCCTCCGTCCCTAAATTATCTTCAAACTTTCCTTTTTCGTCCGTCCCAAAATTATCTCCTCTTCCCCCTTTTAGCAAAAAATTTGTGGTTCACAACCATTCTTACACATTCTTACACATTTCTCTCTCCTCTGCACAACTCTCCACCACACAAATCCCACTATCTTAATAAATGTGCCCAGCCGAAAAGGGAGAAAGATTAGGGACGGAGGGAGTAAGTAAGAAGTACTCATTTGCAACAGTAAGTACCCAGAGGACAGAGGTACACTCTGTATAAACCATTCCTATTTTTTTACCCTCCGCTCCCTCTCTCCTCTTCTATCGTACTAAGTACTAACAACTCCCCCCCCCCCCCCCCCCCTTTCTTTCTTTTTTATTTTCTTCTTTCTCTTTCCTTCTTTCTTATTCTTTCTTTTTATCTTTTTTTTTACTCGAGAGGTGTGGGGGAGGGGACTGGGGGGTCTGAAGTAATCATTGCTGAAATTCACTCCATAGAGTTTGAAACTTTTGTGTGCCTAATGGGTTTCAAACTCAAGACCTCCTACTAGGCACGGTAACTTCACAACCGGCTGAGCTGGAATGCTCGGTTATTCTTTCTTTTTATCTCCTACTCATACTCCATCTTCACTATCATCATCCATCATCATCATGACCTTCATCTTCCATTCTATCTTCATTGGAAAATATGTTGTTTGAAAATAACCAGAAATTTGCGGGAAAGTCATCGGAAAATTAGAGTCACCAATTTTTTTGTCTGTGTGGTATATTAACATTTTTTGTATCGTACTGAATAATGATAAATATTGTCTATAATGAAATATGAAACTAAAATATTATTAACATTTTATAAAAATTCGCCACAAACAAAATATGTGCGTATGCAGACATTGATTTTCTTTCAGTGTTTGTGTACATAGACAAGAATGTAATAAAATGTCACATATTACATCGAAACAAATGTCAGGATGTGTAAAACAATGTGTTTACTTGGTTTTAGGTCTCTATATATACCACATACACATTTTGTGTTAGAACCTAAAAGCCTTAAAGGCCACACACAACAAGATCTTCTTGTTTGCTATGATGTCAAGGTTTTTTGTTGAACTATAAATCGTCAAATACGAAAATTAATATAAAATGTCTAAACAAGAGCCTCCATATATAATGGGCAATGCATATTTACTAAGAAATGCAATATTCATATCTCTTGAAAGTTATAAAAAATAGGTATATCTAATATATTTTGTTATATGGAATGTCCGTTTATTGAAGCGGTACATATCCCCATCAAGAAATAGTCTTATGCTCTTACCCTAAAAAAGTATACCTCGTTCTTCCTGTATCCAAACTCCGCATTTTCACCTTGTATCTTGTATGATCCTTGACTCTTTAAAAAGGGGTTAAGACACCAATATTACTAAAAATTAACTCATGGACAAAAAAGTGACCTTTTAAAAAATCCAGAAATGTGACTAAAAAAGGCTGAACAGACTATTTTGCCCTTACTAAGGCCCAGCAGACCTGCTACAGTAACCAATGTGTTACTGATTTACAGTGACCTAATTGACCAATGTGTTACAGACTGACAGTGACCTAATTGACCAATGCATTACAGTGACCTATGTTACAGTGCATATATTCCCAGTGACCGATGACATCGTGACTATATACCTAGTTACCCATGCCACAGTTACCAACACTTAGTGACCCAGCTTGAGTGACATCCCGACTACAGTGACATCTACCCCCAGACCACCCCGATCTCAGTGACCAAAGTGCCGGTTACCAACGCTCAATGACAATCGTCTCATTAACCACCCGAGCTCTAGTGACCACCCGATCACAGTGACATCACTACCCCGCCAGTGATCAATTGATGTCTGCCATCTCCGAGCATTGCCGCCCCAGCCCCGCCCCTGACCCCGCCCCTGCCCCACAAGTCCACCCCAGCCCCCTTCCCCACAAGTCAACCTCTTCCCAAC